GAGAAAAAGATATATTATATCAATTGTATCATATAAACTTTTCTAATTAAATAAGTGTTATTTTAATAGTCGAAAACAAAAAAAGATTTTTGATCATATATGTTTTATTTCACTTCCACTTGTTTAAAAAAAAAATGTTCTCATTTACTTTTTATTTTTTTATTTTTCATTTTTGTCATCTATTGAACATCCGGCATAAAATGTCCATTTAGAAGAAATCAACAGATTAAAAAATATAAAAGTACTATTTAGATGTTCATAAAAAAGAAAAGTTAGTATTTCTGTTCAATTATTTGTGCATTTCTTTCTTTTTTTACAGAGTAAATATACAAAAAAGAAAACCTCGAAGGCCATTTTCCTTTTCTTGTTTTTCTAAACGCTTAATACAATCGATTTTTTTCTATTCAAAGAATGTTCGTTGAAATATAGTAAATAATGAAAACAGGTAATAGCATAATCAAATTGACAGAACACAATCAAGCAAAACAAAATAAAACTAAAAAAAGAATAATTAATAATCAGGTACTATTTTTCTTCTATATAATAAAATCTTTCTAAACATGATTTATTAGTTCACTGTGAATAAAAATAGTTTATTAATTTAGTTGAAATACTCAAAGTAAGATTTAGTCTTTTTAATAAATGATTAATTGTTTAAATATCATTTAAAATAATCCATTGATGAAATACATAAATCATGATAAAATCGAATGTCACTTTTTTTTCTTAATATGAGTAATTTATTATTTTTTTTTTTTTTTTCTATAATTAAAAAGATGACTTCTTAAGGAAACACTTTCTCCCGTACTTTGTCTTTTCCTCTACGACACACAATGAGTTTTTTTTCTTTTTACGCTGAGAACTTATTTTTAAAGTGTCGATGGAGAGAGTTAGACAATGAATAACTGAAGTTGATCTCTAGAATTGTTTAAACTTTTAAATTCATCTATTATAATCGAAACTATTACTTCTGACATTATACAATATTTCCGATATTTAAAAAAAGCGTGTGGTTTTACGTATTTTTTTTTTCTTATAGTATGTATGCCAATCTAACGACATCTATGGATGACATGCTTTGAAAGGACAAACATCAATAAATAAATAGCTGTAGATAGAAGTACTAAAGACTTCTGCTTATCCTTGATTGGTCTTAATTACTATTTGCTTGACTGTGTATTTATTAACACTTGAGTAGTCTATTACTTGGTTTACTTTATATAAGTAAATCTAGATTATTACGAATAGTTCAATTCGTAAAGAATCTTATGATTATTTTTATCACGAAGATATTCCACCTACAGAAATACAATCCATCAATCTAGCTAACATAAATAATAAATGCGCTAGTAATAAATAATCATTTGCATCCTTCCATTTTCTTCTACAACTCATTAGACTGACTAATCATCTTACATTAAAAAGAATACTTACAACGAGTAGATATTACTTATATGGGATGTTTTTATTGCAATTTTGATAATGTATGAGTATCGTTTTACCACAACGTCTAGAACATCGGGGGTTTTTTTTTTGTATGTAGTCTAACACAATAATTTTTATCATTATAATGTTTATATCTATATAAAGCGAAAGTTTAGAGCAATATATTTGACTATATTTCAGTGTTGTTGATACATATTTATTAGAGATTATACGAGAATTTGTTGATCTTTTCTACATTTGATTGATATAAAATCATTACGTCATGAAAAAACATCTTGTGATACAAAGCCTACCAATGTCAATGGAGTTGTTGTTTTTTCCCATATGGTGGCCTTAGTGAGACTAGTAAAAGACTCAAACAACAAAGATGCTTGAATCTTCTGTCCGAAGTTATGACTGCTTTAATGAGTTCTCAGCATGCTTGAATAGTATCCATAAAGATATCTAATGGTTGAATTTCGATCAAAATTCGTCTGTCCTGCATGAGATATTGAAATTTCAGCAATTGCTCATAGTTTATAAGACAGTTAGGAAAATTGAGTTTTCCTAGAGGCTCAATAATTCGAACAGAAAATATTGATATTGTCTGAAATTTTCCGAATCTTTTAAGAGCTATCAGACGTACATACTGACAGAATTTCAAATGGAAATTTGATCATTAGATGTCTTCGTCAATACTATGTTCATTTCCTGACAACTCATTAAAGCAGTCATAGTTCCGGAAAGCAAGAGCAAGGACATTTGTCCTATCAGCTTATTACTAATCTTACTAAAGCCTACTAATGTGGAATAAAAAATCAAGCTCAATTTGCATTGATCAACTGAGAAATTTTTCGCATTAATGAAAGAAGTCTTTTAATTAAAATAATTGTATTTAAAAATATTTTTATTTAGTTATTTTTAATAATAAAATCTATGAAATTTTTTGTCTTCCAATATAAATTTTCCGATAAAAACAATACCCAAAACGAACTGATCTGTTTCTTCTGCATGATGATCTTTCATTAATAACATCTGCTTGAAATGTTCCCGCATTCTTTGTTTATTATCTTATGTATTGTATAGACATCAAGTCAAGCAGAATATCCATGAAGGTAATACTTATCTTTGCCATTCTGAACAGCTGTCTATATGTTAACATCAATCATTGTAATGGAGACAAACACTAAAAATATATCTCCCTTGATTTAGTTCGATTGAAATAGACAAGCGACAAAATTTGACATATTCAATACTAATCTTAGAGACCATAAAATATTTTTCCTTATAGAGTAAATGATACTATTTTCAATCGTTTGTAGATCATTAAGAAATATATCGTTTATAGAAGCATTGAAAGATATATATCAACACTTTCTATTTGTTGATAGAAAGATTATATCAACGAGTATTTTACTGTACTTAATTCAATTATTTATTTTTTTCATCTATTATCAACACAACTCGATGTTTTTTCTAGCCTTTTATCAGCTTTTTACGTACACAGAACAAAATACATTGAAACTACAAATAATCTTTTCTGCATGCTACCAACATACATCATATACATGTGTATATATTTTCAATCAAATATTGAGCTCAATTTATTATTAGAAGTTTTTAACTACAACAAAACTTTGAAAATCTAATCATCTTAGCCGCTTATTCACTTAATCTATTTCTAACTTTCACATGAATTTAGATAAAGACACGAAGGGACATTTTCTTGTTTGCATGCATGCTAGAAAAGAACTTTAATCATACAGACAAGAATGTATTCTTGTAATATTTCATTGACTTCTGACAAATATTTCTTGTTTTCTGTCTTATAATATGACAATAATAATAATCTTTTTCTTAATTATTATAAGCAATCAAAATTTGAATATTCTTTTCAACAACTATGAAATTCTACATGAAAGATTCTATCATGTTTTATTTTCATACATGATTGCTTACAAAAATTTTCAATAAATTAGTTACATTTTTACATCTGAATGCTTCCAATGTGATTTTCAGCCAGAGATACGAATCAATGAATATAAAAAGTAATTGGTTATAGTCGCTAATAAAGTCTTTGTCATCATGCTCTAAAGATTATTTGAATGAATCATAGTATTTGAAGAGAAAAGAAAAATGCCTATCTCAATAAAACATTAAACAAGAGCAAGGGAGGCTTATATCGAAATAAATAATTTGTCGGAAGTACATTTCGATAAATTCATGCTCTGTTAAATTAACCAGCTAATTTACAATTCCGAATTCTGCCAAGAGGAGAAGATGTAAAAAACAAGAAAGCTCTTTTTTTTTTCATATACTCCCTTGCTGAACATAGAATTAGTGCCGACAACTGAAAACATGCACATACACACGCACGAGACTTTAATAATTTGCGCCAAAAAGACATGAACAGAGGTTTATGAATAAACATGCAAACCGTTAGCTCAAATTGAGAAGAGAATCTATCATTGTCAGTAGTTTTTTTTAGACAAATTATTACCTGTTCAGCCATAGCATTATTCTTTTCATTCATCATATTGTTGTTGTCAATTGAATATTACTTTTAATAGACGCAAAAAAAAAAATACTAATCGTGAATAATAATAATAATAATAATAATAGTAATAATCTTGACAATGTTCGAGGGAATAAAAAAATACAAAAAAAAAACAGGCCAAGAACTATTGTGTTGAGCGAGAGAGAAAAAGAAGCATGTAGTGTTAATCAGTTCAACATCGTCTTATTTATCTGTCGTCGTTGTTGTTGTTACTGTTGTTCTTGTCAGTCTGGCGAAAAGTACAGTTGGTCTTAACAAACTATTTACAGTATCGGCACTATAGAAAAACTCAACGACAAAAAGTAATAGAAGAAAAGAAGAAATGACATTCGCTCGGAAAAAATCGATATCATCATAGCCCAAACAAGCATCCGTCTATACTCGTATGGTAAGAGAGAGGGAGAGAGAGAGAACGAGAGAGAGAAACCACTCGATGTAATGCCCTTAAAGGAATATATGAACAAATAGCAAGAGATAGTAGATGATTTTTTTTTTGGGAAGCAAAAGAGCGAGAATGAGATTGTCCCCAACTCTTTCTTATTCTTTGTTCTACTATCGACGACGAGAACGAGTGACGATGATTATCATCGGAAAAAAATCCCATCATCACAGTCACATATATGAAAAATGAGATGTCTCTTTCTCTATTTGTTAGGCTGATAGATTCTTGTTCGTTTCCTATAGCTATCTATTTGTCTATATATATATCGCTGTTTATTTTTACTTTTTTTCTTATAAGACACCGTAGGTCTTTGTTCTTACCATCTTTACATACTTTAAAAGTGGTACCAGCATCCATCCATTGAGTATGTTTATGATTGTATCGTCATCTATTTTGTTTTATAGTGTATAATAATAACAACAAAAAACAAACTATGAAAAGAAAAGGAACGTAAAGTATCACGAGGGAAATTAATAATGATCCAGAATATAAAGTTGGCGTGTATAAACGTGAAATAATAAAAGGAGAAGAAAAAAACTGAGACTAACAAAATAAACGATGCATGCACACACATCATTAAATATCAACAATGACATAGACATCATGTGTTGATGCTTCTTCATGTATTTGCATATTTGAATAAGTTATTGCCTTAATTTCAGTTCCTTGTGTATGTCGTGATAAATCAAATATTTCACCGTAACCACGAGCAATAATACGTAATTGATTGCGATCAAATAAGTTAATTTCAATTTTTCTTGCTATAAAATAATCTTCTGTACCATAAACTTCAAGCCATTCAGATAAAAATCTATATAATAAATTTTGTAAATCTCCTTCGACTTGAATATCAATTTGTTTCATATCACGATTTTCAATACGATCAATATCAGTCATATATGCAAACATGCCCATAGCTACCTACAATTAAAATACATGTCATGATGATTTCTTACGATAAAACTAGATTTTCTTTGTATAGAAATAAGAAGACAAACAAAAAATATTTTATAATATGTCGTATTAATGAAAACCATATCATCATATAATACTTAACAAATATAAGAACTCAACTAAGTATAAATTGCAAACAACTCAACATGTTTTTTAATGTCAAATGAAATGTTTCTTTTCTAAGCATTGTTTGAATCCATACTCTTAGTATATAAAAGAATCGTCAATGAGGAAATAAAATGTAAAGATGCACGGAAGTGGAAGTCCTTTAAAAATGTTTTAGAATAAATAAAACAAAAAAAAAAAAAAGCAAAGAACATTAGACTATTTACCAATTATGAATACGTATTATACGATAGTTTTAAAAATACTTTCGGCAAAGGTTTTTTTTTTTTTCTTCATTTGCTTCAATAAATTTTTTTACACAACCTTCAAATAAAATTAAGATAAATATGCCTTGTGAGAATGAAATCAATTTTGTTCGTGTCAAAGAGAAACTTCCTATTCAAAAATATTATCACAAGGAAAATAATTAATTTTGATTTCAATGACTTTTCTTATCACTTCACGAGAGAATTATCAAAGAAGAAAATCTTATTCTTTTTAAGTATGTAATTCAATTTATGTATGAAGATCAACTACAAAAAAAAAACCTGATGAAAAAAAACTCATTCTATGCAAATCAGATAGAGAACGACTTAAGCATCCCTTTGAAAGTGACATAGAATAAAATATTCAATAAGTCCAGTCCAATTAGGTCATATGGATAAGTTCGATTGTTGAAAATAATCGAAAAATTTTCACAATGAAATTTAAAAATCATATGAAAATAGAATTTTAATTCATTGAAAACGTTCTGCAACACTTGAATTCTCTTATAAATGATAAAATTTAGATGCTATCATCAGTTTCTAAATTCTAGTCTAGAATTGTAGTGTTTTGATTTAGAATGAATAACTGTATTTTATTCTCAGCGAGATTCTATACTTCCTATATTGTATATTTATTGAGTATAATTTAAAAGAAATAGATAGTATGGGTCATATTCATTCAAAGAGAATAATAAAATATCATTATACGAACATATAATTTCGAGATTTCTAGAATATACGATTAAAGACATTTATCAAGAGGAAACAACTAAAATTCATATCTTTTGATTTTACCTGTTTCACCAAAAAAGGATTAACAGAATCAGAAAACATTACATTTTTGTAACTATTATGATAGATTTCATTTTCGATATGTACTAATCGTCGTCTCTTTTGACAAATAGGTTTTACTGAAGGATTTAAATTATAATAAAATACTGTCGATTAACATAGAAAGTCATTAAAAACCATTCTTTTTATTTTAAATTGATGAAAAAAAAAATGCAAAGAAATCAGCTGTTTTCCCTTGACACCTATACTGTTCTTAGAAGTGAAGTCTCACGAGACAGTATCGAATAATTTCGTTTGTCGTGACCCATAGAGTAATCGGCACGGGAATATTTCCAAAAAAACTACGACACAATACAAACGGAATTGCGAACAATATTTGAAAAAATATCTTAAAGTTTTTAAATCCATATATCAAAATGTGTATTAAACTTTCAATTTTTTATTTCTAATAAATCTTTTGATGTTTTAAATACATAAAATAAAAGTAAAACGCAGAAAAACAAATATTACGAGATGTCCTTAAAGGTTCTCATTATCATTCTTTTTATCAATGGTGTTATTCTTTCTGTAGTTAAAGTACATAAGTCATTTTGTTTAATTAATGTATTGTGCGCATGCATAGCTCAATGTTCAGTTCAGAGCGACAATACAATATGCATATAATGCAAAATTCGCGTGTATTTTATTTTTCATTGATTTATATATGGTCTGATAGAACTTGAAGAGCTACTTAAGAATATATATATTTTATCTCAATTAGATTATTTCTTCGCTATAAAAAAAACTACCAATACTGATATAGAGTTCACAGATATAAGCAAAGTCACTTTTTTTGTTTTCAATATTCTTTCAAGATAGTTTTTGTTCTAATTGAGCAATCAAAGCTGAGTAGAAAAATATTACTTTTTTAGATTTAAACTTAATAATGTAACAAATTGCTATCAATATATGTAGGTTTATAGCATCTCTTTATAGAAACTTTTGTAAATCTGTTTAGGTTTTTTTATTGTAGAAGATAAGGCGAGATGTCTTATCTTCTTTTGAATGAGATAGGTTTTATCTAAAAAAAAGTATTCATTTTGTTTGATTGTGGAGAAAATCGAACACTCCCTCATTTTCAAAGTATAAGAGCCACATATAGCCCGAATTATTGCAGTTTCTAAATATCAAAACTCAGTTGCAAAACAAAATAAACCCAATGTTCACAATCAATGTGAAGATTTACATTAGGCTACATACATTTTAACAGAAAAATGCTGAGACGAGTACAAATGCGTTTTTCGTGGAAAAGTGATTTTGTTAAAATATATATGGCCCGATATAGGTTTTCACGCTCATTGTGAATACTTTTTTTTTTTCATTTTGTTTTTCAACTGAGTTTGAAAGTAGAAACTGGAATAAGCAAGACTAAGTTTGACTCTTTTACTACTAAAATGAAGGAATGCTTGATTTTCTCAACAAAAAGACAAGATGAGTTTGTTTTAGCTCGAAATTGGCTCAATCAAATCAGATAAGGCATATGGTCTTATCTTCTGTCACATAAAAATTGCATAGACTTACAAAATGTCCATAAAGACGTGCTATCAATCTACATATATTGATAGCAATTTATTACATTATTATTTTTAACCTAAAAAAATAACATTTTTGTACTCAGTTTTTAATGTTGAATTTAAAAAAAGAAATGATTTTCAAAGAATTTAGACAAAAGCTTATAGAAGCTGAAGAGTTTCATTATGGGAAAAGTGATTTTGGTGTTATATGTTGTCTTATGAGCATTTGAAGATTTCTATAGAGAAAAAGTAATCTAATTGACATAAAAATCATGTACTTGTAACTAACTCTTCAAGCTCATTCAAACCATGTACAAATCAATGAAAAATAAAACTCATTAGAATTTTGCAGTTTGTACATCTCGGTTAAAGTGCAGTTATACATTAGATGAATCTCTTTTTTTCTCATACTTCAGCTACAAGCGGGTGGAGATCCTTTAATCTTCGAAGGCTTCATTTAATAGATAGCAAATTAATAATATTAACTACATCCAAATGTTTTCGTCGATCGGTATTTTGTTGTCAATAATATGTATCAGGAAATAGCTGCTCTGTGTAAGTACATCCAGATGAATACATTTTTTGTATCGATGGTAAACCTCATCAGAATAGAAAGTCATCCTATATTAAAAGGTTATTGAAAAGAAAAATTCCGCAAGACAGTAGAAGACTATAATTTTCCCCAAAGCTATTTTTTCGGAAACCCAACAAATGCTTGGTGTTTTTCGTCCTTAAAAACTGAAATTTTGAGTAAAAAACCATTTTTCCTAGAAAAAATCATAGTTTTCTGGCAGTTACAGTACAGATACGTGTGCTAGTAGCTAATAAGACTGGACATTTTCCAGTTAAATTAAATCTTTCATAGCCAAACTAACAAATTCAAAATATAAACTGCTATTGACGCGCACGGACCAAGATATTCGAATTTTAAGGTATTTATAGTTTATGCAATGTGGGCAAAATTCAAAATTTTAGCACAGTTTCCTACGTAATGATTGAATAGAACACATGGATCTGCATAAGAAAAAGTATTTTTCAAATTAAAGAAACTTTTCACAAAAAGCCTTCAAGATACTATCATTTCCAAATATAAGAGAAAAAATAGACTCAATATTCTGGCTTTCGTAAAAAAAAAACAACCGTTTTTAATTTGAAACATTTTTTCTAGTACAACTCAATGAATTCTATCCAACTATCACGAAAAAAGATTGCTGAAATTTACAATTTGGATCACCTTACATATACTGTCAATACCATAAAGTTCGAATACTTCGGTCCTCGCATGCCATTAGTAGCTCATATTATTAATTTATTTGTTTGGCACTGAAAGCTTTAATTTGACTCGAATATGTTTACTTTTGTTGATTATGAACTAAATAAATATTTTCGTTATTAGTTTCTAAAAATATCTGTCTAAATATCAGAAAAATTTTTCAAAAACTCTTAGTTTTCTAGGTAAAAGTTATCAAAAGTCTATTCCATGATAGAAGGCCAGGTTTGAATGTCTTCAACAACACAATATCTTTATATTTCCTTCGATTACAAGACTTTACGAGAGCATCCAAACACTTTCAGGATGGGATATTCGGATTCCGATCATTTTGAAAAATCACGGGACGCAATGAGCAGGATTTGGAACTAGAGATGTGCACGACTAAGTTTTATTGATTCCAATCTAGAGAAGACTACATCAGAATTTATTCGCACGGCATCTAAAATAATTCTTCAATATTTGTTATTTACTTTGTCGACGACTGGCACTTTTTTGGGTCACCTTTCTTGAAAGATGTTCAAATTCATACGATTTAAAAGATATTTCGCTATAAAACCACCGAGTTTTTAACTATACACTTGAGTTCCGACCCGACAAATTTTTTCTTTGATAGACCCAGCCTCAGCAACTTCTCTGTATTGTGACTTTGATCTCGCATATCTATATTCAGAACACTAAAATATTTGCCATGTAGGATTCTATGTAAAACACTTCATTATTAATTTGTGAAGAATGCATTTCTATAAATTTTTTATTTGTTTTCAACTAACTTGTTCAAAAGATTCTTCAATAGAATTCCCCCATGCATGAATTTGCATATCAGCTGTATTATCAAGATATTCATATTTTACATCTGGATAATCAAAAGTAACATCTTCATTAGATGCTGATGGACCATTCTCTTCTTCATGTTGATTATTTTTTGTATTGGAATCTTGATTTTTATGTTCACTTTCTTTTGACATAGTTTTAAAATTAATTTTGTTGAAGTTTTGTATTTGTTTCAAGTTGTTTTTCAGCAAGACGTTGTTGTTCAACAAGTTCAGCTTCACTTTGTCGTAAGGCAAGTGCTGATTCGAGACGTTCTTTACCTCGTCGACGAATTTCAGGTAAATATTCAGTTTTAGCTTTATATAATTGATGACACACAGCAAGAAAAGCAACACCAGTCAGACCAATTAATAATGATGCTGTTATTCGATGTGCTCGATTATAAATAGCTGTACGATTTTGGATTCGAAATGCACGGCCTAACATTTGAAAAGACAAATTTCAAACATTTGATACTCTTCGAAACATATCAACAATCCAAAAATGATGGTAAAATTTGGATAGAAACCATTTTTATTTTATCATTTTTTTCTATTTTTTATTTTATTTTTGTTTGAAAATTCATATAAAATTAAAATTAATATAATAATAATTAATAAAGAAAATCAATGTGTAATATAAATCAATGAAGCATGTTTTTTTTTTCTACAGATGTCAGGAACAGTATTATATTGATAGAAAAATGATTCATCAAATGTGGGAGGTTGATTGACATATCGTATTTAGTATTATAAAAAGATCGTTTTTCAAATATGACGAATAGCACATTATTCGAAATGACACAAGTAATGTTGAATTGGTTTCTTTTTCTTTTCATATATTATCGATTAACGCGTTATTCTTTTTTAGTTAAATTCTAAAATTGATGAATTAACTCGATTAACAGAATCTGAATATGAAACAAGTAAAACAGTGAATCTCTTTCAATATTTTGATAAAATCTATACATTATGTTATGGTACATCAAATTTTCAAATATTAATTGATACATTAATACAAAAGAAGTATGCAAGTAAGTATTAAAAAGTATTTTGTTTTTATTTGACTTTTTATCATATCTATTAGAGCTTTGTTATCCAATATTTAAACGTATACATACGGATGTATTTAAAACTCAAGAACGTTGGCATATTACTTATTATTTACTTCATTCATTATGGAATTATACAGATAAAACAAATGCAATGTGTTTCGTATGTATCGGACAAATTTAAAAGATGTTCGGAAGTTGTGAGGATTGGGAGGGCGAGAAGAATTAAACTTTTCTATTTTGAGAATTGCCTTTGACATGTTTTTTTAAGAGAGGGAGATTAACGGTCTAGGGGAAGAGATCATTACAGAATAAACAGATACTTTTGGCTTGTGGAAACTATTCATTTTCTAATTCTCTTCAGGTATTTAAATGTTTTTCGAAGGAAATTGAGTCCTCTGTTGTTCTCTCTGAGAATCTCCTCACTGCCTCGTTAGTGTTAAAACCAGTAATGGTAAGCAATCTGTCTGGTTCGGCAAAGGATTCTTTAGCAGCCGATCTAGATTTTTTTGAGTTTTTGCATGTTGTTTTTCCAAGCAATTGATCATAAAGGTGTTGTTTTTCGCATATCGAACAAGTTTTACTTACTCCAATGATCCTTTCTATAGAGAAAACATGCATTAGAGTATTTCTATAGAATGAATATTCATCAAGTCACATCGATATCAAGTTATATTATCAAAACAAGATGGAGTCACTGTTCGTCATTTCAATTTATTATATAGCTATCTTATTTCATATTATCTATACCGTATCTCTTGCAGAGACAAAAGAGATGACAAATTGATTCGATTATGAGACACAGTACATGTCTAGTTGATTCAGAATTTCTATGTTTGACGAACATTTCATTAGTGTACAATGCTAGTATAGAATTTGTAATCCTATAAAAATTTATACTTATCGATCGATGCCATAATAGGAAAAGCATATATAAATAGATGGTGAATGAAAATCTTTCAGCGTAATTCCTAGGAGATCCATATATTAAACACGATGAAGCTACTTTAATTATGGTGAAGAATCTAATGGGAACAAGTGAAAACTCCATACTTCAGCATATTTTGAGAGTATGTCAAAGCTATCCTTCGGAACTTCTTTGCTAGTTTAAGTCTACTATCAACGTGTGTCACGAGTAGATTAATTTGAGTTCATTTTATATAAGTCTGTCTGACACTCTAGCCTAAACATTCCATTGTATTAGAAGATTTGAGTATCAGTGAGGTATGATGAAATATTTAGACTTTATTGTCAGACAGTCTTTTATAAAATAAGTTCAAACTTAGTATTCTTGCGACACATGTTGGTACTAGACTCGACATAGTTAAGAAGTTATAAAGGATTACTTTGGCATACCCTTGAAGTATGGAATTTCTGCTTTTTTCTCTTTGAGAAAATATCATCATCGATATGACACCATCTGCCATTAAACTAAAACACTATCGGCATGTTTGTCATGGTCTGTGGAACAAGCTGGAAGAAATGGGATCAATTTTCGCGCTATATACTTAAACACTCATTGACAATTATGTTTCATAAAGGCACTATAATAGTGAAATAAAAGCTCTGCGTAATTTCTGTGATGATTCAGAGGTAGGTATGACTAATCGAGAAGTTTCTTTGACTCTTATAAGATGAGAAAAGTGAACAATGACTAATGCCAGTCCGATCTGACCGATACCAACAAGAAAAAACTCTACCGGTTGCAACATTGCCCTAGTACTTCAGCTCAAGACACTCCTGAAACATTTTGAAAAAAAAACATTAATTGATTTTTTTTATTCATAGGCTGTTGTTGATGCACAATTTATTCCAATGTTTATTCCAAATCTAAATCAGGAAAATTTTTTAAAACATTTTTCTTCCAATGATGTTAGTTTAATTCAATGAATTGTTTTATGTAGAAATAAAAATTTTTGATTTTCTTTTTAGGCAATTAAAAAATTATTTGATATGATTGTTTCAATTTTGCATAATATTGCTCAAATACCAGAATTAATTGATGATTTGAGACAAAATCAATGTGTAGAAGTATGTTTCATAAAAAAAAGAAATGGCTACTAAATGAAATTTTTTTTTTTTTTTTTTTGTCAATAGACTTTAAATCGTGTCATTCAAACAGTTGGTTCACATAGTACTTTTCTTAAAGGAATATCCTATTTAACTCTTGCATATATTATTCGAGAAGATGAACGTACTTATTTAACAAATTCAAATGGTATTTTAATCATTTAGTCAAAAGTTTTATTTTCTTGCTTTTTTTTTTTGTTATTAATTAGAATCAATTCCTTATCTTGTTGGTCTTTTACATGAAGCAGTTAATGTTGTAGACCGTCGTTCACATGGATTGGAAGCACGTGAATTGTGCAAAGGTTTATCAAAATTGTCTGTTGCTAATGATAATAAATATAAAGTAAAAAAAAAGCAAAAAAGAAATTCTTTTTTTTTTTTGTAACTATTATTATGATTTAGATTTTTTTGGAATCAAAATTACTTGATAGTTTATTAAATATGCTTGAACAACATACAAATAGTCAAGAACAAATATGTGCTGGTACACTTATTTGGAATTTATGTTTTGATCAAAATGTTCGAAAAATTTATCATGATCATCAAAAATTAAATCAAATTTTAACAACTATTGCACAAACATCATCAAATGATGAATTACGACGAACAGCATCCGGTTGTTTATGTACATTAATGGGTGGTCCAACAACAGCGAAGAAAGCTTCATCATCAACAACAGCAACACCTGGAAATAAAAGTGTAATGATTTCATATAATCATGATGTTCAATCATTATCAAAACAAATAAAAGATCATTTAGCTGCTGATGGATATAATGTTTGGAGTAAGAGTGAAAGAAAATACGAAAATTAATCAATGTTTCGTTTTTGTTTAGTTGATGTTGAAAGTATGCATGGAAATATACTTGATGCTATGTCAGAGGCTATTGAAAGTTCAACAATTTTTCTTATGTGTTTGACTGAAAGATACAAAGATTCACCAAGTTGTCGATCAGGTATAAATGTTACGAATATTTTACTTTTAGTTTTGTGAAATATCATTAATAATGAATGGTAATTTCTATTGCGAGAAAAAATTTCAATCGATTCATTTTACATAATATAGGCAATTATTTATTAAATCTTCATGCATCATGATTAAGGTTGAGATCCAAATCAGTGGCTTCAATTTCTGTCTTTATGAGTGTTCAAATTACGAAGTTATCAAAGACTAAATAAGTCATAATACAGTAGTAAGACATAGCATTACGAGTTTACAGCAAAGAATATTTTGCTAAGTTCACAATTAAGACTAGAATAGAAACCAAAAATTGGTTGTTCTTACTTTGAACTATGATATATTTTAAATGAGTATCAAGCAGACCTACAACCGAAGAACTGACAACCAGTTCTTTTCAACAACAAAAAACTAAACTATTTAAACGAATTACTTCTAGACATGTGACAATTGCCAGTTCTATGAACTTGTCCTCTCTTGAGAATTGAATATAGTAACCCATTCTTTTTCTTGACAGCTAGAACAATGAACACATTAGAATTGCTACAGTACTATTATGAATAGGCGTAGTTCGCATGAAAAGAGTTGATCACTTGACACAATCCTAGGAAAGGAATCAGTTCAGAAAGTTGTGAGCCACCATAGGCATAGGTATATAGCAGTCACTTCGGAACTGACTTCTCATTAAATGAAAAGAAATATTATTAAAATCTTCTCGTTTCTTGTACAAGTGATTTTATTATCTAACAATTTCTCTAATAATCTTGTCTTTTTTTTTTTTTTTTACATAGAATGTGAATATGCCTATCAACGAAAAAAAACTATTATTCCACTTCTTCTTCAAGCTAATTATAAACCTGAGTAAGTTAAACGTAATTATATAATATTTCAATTTTAAATCATATTCTATATAGTGGTTGGCTTGGTCTTATTGTTGGTAGTAAACTATATATAAATTATGCAAAAAAACCATTTGACACAGCTTATTCAGAAACACTTTCTGAATTACAAGCAGCTCTTAATCAAACAGAAAAAAAACCAGCAATGCCACCATCGAAAAAACGTATATTTTATTTTTTCTAACTCTTATTGTTTTTGTATCAAGAGTGATTTTTTTTGTTTAGCTGCACCTCCACCGCAGCCATCATCAACAATAAATGAAACAACAACTACAACATCAAAGGCTCCTCCAGGTGCTTTAGTTCATTTAATGTCACAAATTCGAATGGATAAACCATCGGGACCAATGCCAATTTCATTAATAAATTTAGAAAAACTGTCAGTTACAGATACACAGCATTTATTAGCTGAAAATGGTTTAGAAAAGTAAAATTTGAATATAAAATATTGTATTTGTTTTCTATTTTTG